CCCGGTCCCCCCCGAAAGTTTTTGAGCACCCGGCCCGTTCATCCCTTCTAAGAGTCGTTTTAGGTAACAGGGTCGCCTCGCTGGAAAAGGCGCGGCCCTTGGGCGGCCGGCCTTGCCGGGGACCCTGCCCCCCCCAGCCCGGGCGGCTGACCCCTCCGGGGGGGGGGGGCGTCGGGGAGGCAGCGGGCCAACGCAGGGGCTCCCCAGGCCGTCTGCTCGGGCTCCAGCATGCGGACTCCTCCACCTACTGCTGTGTGGCCCTGGGCAAGTGGCCTCCCCGCTCGGAGCCTGTCTTCTTGTCCGTCGCCCTCAGCAGATCCTAAGGCCAAGGGGACCCGAACCACACCTGCGTGGTGCGCTCACCATCGTAAGCCCGACGCCCACCACGTGGCGCACGGGAACATGTGACATGCGAGAGAGAGCCGTGACATCTCTACGACGTCATTGGCTGCCACCCCAGGGGACGGACAGCCTAGACCACTTGGTATTCTCACCGTGACGCCTCGTGCCCCACAGCAACGTGAGGGTGAGACCAGGGCGCTGCCTGTGACAGGGCTCAGCCCACCGAGGCCAGCACCAGTGTGACCACTGACCCTCCAGCGAGGGACAGTGAATGGCTAGGCCCCCGCCTCCAGCAGCAGGTGTGACCGGCCCCCGTCCACCTGGGGGCCTGGTGTCCACTTATAGCCTTGGGACACTCAAACAGGCAAAACCACGGAGACAGGAAACAGATCCGTGGTTGTGGAGTTGGGGGGGGGGGTGGACAGGGAGCCCGGGGGCGGTCCAGGGCAGTGAGGGTAGTCTGGTGCTAAATGGTGGGTACATGTCAGCATACATTTGTCAAAAAAATAAAAATAAACGAAGAACGCCCCAAGACGTAGCGCCCGTCCCAGCCTGCCTTGCTTCCCAGCTGGGCCTCTCCTGGGCACTTCCTGGCCCGATACCAGGAGCAGCCATCTGCAGATCTCTCCGCAGCTCCTGCCTGGCGGCCCCAGAGCCAATGATCCAGGGGGGACGCGGTGCGGGGAGGAAGGGCCATAGAATGTACACCACCCAGAGGGAACCTTCATGTAACTGTGGACGTTAGGTAACGATGATGCTAATAGACCCATGCGGACGTGTCGGCTGGGACACACACCCACACGCGGGCAGGGTGTTCACGTGGGGGGCTGATGAGGGCCGGCGAGAACGCTGTGCTCTCCACCTACGGTTCTTGAGCCAAACACGGCCCACAGCGCCTAGCTTTTCTCTAAACGGGCGCCGTCCAGCCAGGCCCGGCCTGCGCGGGCCCCGCGCCCACCTTGCTGAAGAGGTCGTTGTGCAGCGCGGTGGACGCCTTCCTGGTGGCCCGGGTGAAGGCCACCGCGGAGCAGACCCCCACGCAGGCCAGGACCAGGGCGCTGAGGCCCAGCACCATCTCGTAGAAGGGCAGGGCGGGGTTGTCCAGGATGTCGCCCGGGTCCGAGGCGGTTCTGTTGCTCTCGAAGCTGCTGTTGGTCTGGGAGAAAGAAGGGGATGCGGTGTGACGATGAGGACCTCCGGCCTCTGGCCCCGGCTCCGGGCCCCGAGCCCCAGTGGTGCCCTGAGCGACGGGACTGGGAGCATCCTCCGCTCGCACCCGTGGCCCCGGCGCTGCTTCCGGACACTCGAGCCTCCGAGAACTGGGAGTCCCCTTGCAGCTCCTGCGAGTGACAGCTTGGAGCCTCCCGCCCACCCCCATCCTGCAGGGAGCGGGCGGGGTGACATCAGGCATTGCACGCGCCTCCGTGAGGGAGCCAGGCTCTGGTGGATGCGAGCGCTTAAGGCGTGTGCCGAGGCGGCCTCGGCCCAGGTCCACCGCCTGCCTGCGAAGCTCAGTGCTGCGCGGAGCGTGTCCTGAGGGCTCAGCCCGCACCCGCTCCCTTTCTCGTTGCTCCCTGAGCGGCTCAGGGTGAACCCGGGCATCTCGCACGGACCTGAGAGCCGTCTGTCCCTCTGAACTGTCCTCATCACAGGACGAGTCCCTAGAGCAGTGATGGCGAACCTATGACACGCGTGTCAGAGGTGACACGTGAATGCATTTTTTTGGTTGATTTTTCTTTGTTAAATGGCATTTAAATATATAAAATAAACATCAAAAATATAAGACTTTGTTTTACTATGGTTGCAAAGATAAAAAAATTTCTCTATGTGACACGGCACCAGAGTTAAGTTAGGGTTTTTCAAAATGCTGACACGCCGAGCTCAAAAGGTTCGCCATCACTGGGCTAGAGGGTTAGACGCCTCCTGTCATGGCCTCATGACCTGAGGCCAGCAGGCAGCCTGGGGTGGGCATGCCTCCCGCTGGAGGTGTCCCGTCTCTGCTGGGCCCCGCCCCCCGCTCCTCGGTTCTTCCTCTGAGATGCGCAGGTCACCTCTGCACAAATCAGAGCGGCTCCCGGCCTTCCTGCGTCAGCGGTCAGCCGTCAGCCCTGACGGACTAGAACCTGCTTCCCGCCCCCCAAGTCCAGCAGGTCTACCTTCCTGTGGCCGCCCAGCCCGGCTCCCACCCAGCCAGGGGCATGGAAGCAGCGCGGATGTGCGGAACCCGGCCTGCCTGCGCCAGAAAGAAACCTCTTGGTTCTGTCCCCAAAAGACCACAGGGTGCCGGTTCAGTCTGTGAGCACCAGGTCGCCCCGGGCGGAGGCGCCCAAAGTCTGGCTCCCAGAGGGCCTCCCTGGGCTCCGTCTGTCACCTGGGCAGTGGCAGGCGCTGGGCTGGTCCCCGGGCCCCCAGCCTGGGCTCAGCCCCCAGAGAAGCCACTCCCTCTGCAGGGGCCACAGGCGCGCCCCCCACGCCCAGAGCACTCACCCCTGAGCCCTGCCCCAGCCAGTAGCTCAGCCACCAGAAGTTGAAGGCGGAGAGGGCGTTGAACAGCAGCATGATCAGGAAAACCGCGATGGCGACCGCGTACCCTGGGGAGGGAGGGAGCGTGACCGGCGCCCAGGGAGGCGCACAGCCCCTGGCCACGCTGCTCGCACCCAGGCCCTCGGGTCCCCTGCACCCAACCATCCACTCAGACACCTGGGAGGACCGGGAGGAGCTGGGTTCAAACCCTGGCTCTGCTGCTGACAGCGTGGCCCTGGCAGGGACCGAGGTCAGGGACATTCTGCTGCCTTGGCTCTGAGATGACCCGAGATGGCGTGTGCCCAGCACCCAGCCCGGCGTCCGGCCCACGAGCAGTGAGATTAGAGAAGTCATTCCCCTAAGCAGGGCCGGGCCGCCGCCTGTGCCAGGGGGGCACCTCGGTGGGGGCGCCGAGCCTGGTGCCGGGCACGTGTCTTCTCGCTGAGTCAGGCCCGCCTCACCCAGGGCTGGTTCCAGCGACAAGTAAAGGGTGGTCAGGGTCACAGTGACTCAGAAACCTCCGCAGTGACCCCCAACGTGCAGAGCGTATGTGGTGTGGGGGTCCTGCCACCGTGCAGTGATGTGCAGAGGCCACGAGGCCGAGCTGGGGAAGCTGCTACTTGCCGCCGCCTTCAGAGACACGCCAGCGCCGCCGCCCTCAGATAGACAGGCCAGCTGCGCCCGCGTTCCCGGCGCCACGGCGCTGAGTGCGCCCTAAGCCGCTCCTCCCGGCGCTGAGCACGCGGTTCACTGAGGCCACAGCTGGGCCGTCTGGGAACCGCTGGGCTACGGCTCCGTGTGAACCGCATTTCCTGCGTCCTTTGCCCTGATGCTTGGCGTGGGGACCCTGATCCCGCGAGACCCTCTCCCACGGTCAGCTCATTCCCGGGTCAGCTCATTCCCAGGGCTGGCCAGCGACTGCCGTGAGCTGACACCCACTGCCGCCCGCCACCCACAGCCTGGCGGCCTCAGCAACCACGTGCCCACACAAGCCCTGCCCCAGTCACCCCAGGCCAGGTTCTGAGCAACTAGGAACCCCCATAGCCAGGGCCCCCGGAATGACTCCACCCACCCACCCTGAGCTTGCCCACTCTCTCCCAGGAAAACCCAGGAAGGGCACGCTCCCCGCTCTGCCATCTGACCCCCCTGGCGCCTCCCCGTGGCCCTGGGGGTGGGGCATGGCCTGCCTGCAGCTGGCAGGGTCTCCCTCATGGCTGTAGCGCGCACGTCTGCATGTCTAAGACGCATCTCGGGGGCATGGTACCGCCAGCGCCCCTGAGGACGTGGTCCCAGCATTGGCTGTGGCGGGGGAGCTGCCGTAACCGAGTGGCTGGGACGGTGCAGAGTGAGCCTCGTGTGGGGTGACCCCGGGTGCCCTGGGCCTCCATGACCTCACACCTCCCCCGGTGACCGGGGCTCGGGGCGGGGCTGGTCCTGGGGGCCCCCGGGAGGCGTGGGGCTGCCAGTCCGCACCTCCGGCTGCCCGGATGTACTGGTGGTACACACGCCACGTCAGGGACCCTTCTTCCATCTTCTCCTTCTGTGTGAGCTGGTTCTGCAGCCCTGGGTGGGGAGGAGGAGGAGGAGAAGGCGTTCCTCCGGGCTCTTCCCGGCGCCCAGCGGCTCCCTGCGAAGCTTCTGCGCCTGCCCCCCTCCCGCCCCCTCGCCTCCCGGCGGCAGCGCCCGCCCAGCCTGCCCCTAATCCATGGAAGACCCTGGACCCCAGAGCCTGGAAAGGGGGTCCACCCCCAACTATTCAACAAGCCCCGAGGGCCTGGCGTCCCACACGCTGGACGGGTCAGAGGGGCGGCTGGAGAGAAGGGGACAGAGGTTTCCTAGGGCCAGGATCCTGGTTCCTAATTGTCATCACGATACTGTGCAACCTGGGGAAGTCACGCAACCTCTCTGTGTCCTCGTCCAGGGACAGTGAGATGCTCTGCAGCAACACGCTTCTGCGGCAGCTGCCCCAAAGCCGCTGCGACCCCAGCCCAGGCGGTTCTTGGCCGGAGCCGGGCAGGGCCGGACCCAGCGTCCTCACCTGCACTGTCCCCCAGAGGCTCCTCCTGGAGGGGGTGCTGGGCTGGGCCGCCCACCTGAGGCTCTCTGGCCACCTGGAGTGTGTTCTGGGGGGGAAGCAGGGCTGTGAGCGAGGGGGTTCCTCCCCGAGGGGGAGGGGCGGGGCGGGGGCGGATCACCTGTGTGGCCTCCCCGTGCATCGTCTGGATGAGGTGGGCGTATCGCCCCTTCTTCTGCATCAGCTCGCTGTGAACCCCCTGCTCACAGATTTTCCCGTCTTCCAGCAAAAGGACCTGGTCGCAAAACTGCAGATACTGAGGAGCCAGAAGAAATAAGGTCTTCAGTGAGCACACAAAGAGCTGTCAGCCTCACTATTCCACAGGAAACCTGAGTTCAGGTCGGGATACAACGTTAGTTTATACTAGAGGCCCAGTGGCCTGGGCGGGAGGTCCCTCAGTGGGGCTTGCGCCAGGAACAGGCCTAAGCAGGCAGGCGGACATCCCCCAAGGGGTCCTGAGCGCTGCTGCGGAGGCGGGAAAGGCTCCCATCACCACCGCGGCACTCCCAGCCATGAGCCCAGCTTCTGGCTGAGCGGAGCTCCCCCTGTGGGAGCGCAATGACCACCAGGGGCCAGCTCCTGCGTTGAGCATCTGCCTCCTGGTGGTCAGTACGTGTCATAGCGACCAGTGGTTCCGCCTTTCTGTCGATTTGCGTATCTAGGGTTTTATTCTATAGGATTACCAGGTTGGCAGAAATGAAACGATGGACAACCCCAGGTGCTGGCCGTGACTGGGAGGGAAGGGAACGCTCGTAAACTGTCTGGGCGGGTGGTGGATTGGCACAACTCCTTTGAAAGGCAGTTGGACAATGCCGCGTAAAACTAAAGATTCCTGAAGAATTACGAACCAACAATTCAACCCCTTAAAACTCTATCCTAAAAAAAAAACTCAAACGAGCAGAGACACACGTAGACTGATGTACATTGAGGCATTTTTTGTAAAAGTGAAAAATGAGGGGGAAGACCCTACGCGTCCACCCTCGGGAATAAATTCTGGGTTATCAGGGATCAGAACCCCACCCCCGCAGACTGACAGCTGCACCTGTCAGCGTGGACGATCTCCAGACTGTGACCTGGCGGGAAAAGGCAGGTTAGCACCGGTCACGGGAAGTAAAGCAGCAGCGATGTACGGTTAGGACGTGGGGAAGGAGACTTTACTGTGTCTGAGAGTCACACTGATGAGGGAAGGGATGAAGGCGTGGGCGGGCCCGTGCACAGCAGGGCAGGAGGGGACGGAGGGTCCACGCGCGATTGGGTCGAGGGGGGGCTGGACACTGGGTTTTCACTAGATCGCTTCCCAAACCTTGTTGTTGTTGTCAGTCCTCAGCCGAGGATATTTTTCCCATTGATTTTTAGAGAGAGTGGAAGGGAGGGGGAGAGACAGAGAGAAACATCGATGTGAGAGAGACGCATCGATGGGCTGCCTCCTGCACACGCCCTGACCAGGGCCAGGGAACCTGCAGCCACGGTACATGTCCTTGCCCGGAATGGAACCTGGGGCCCTGCAGTCCGCAGGCTGAATGCTCTGTCCACTGAGCCGCACCGGCCAGGGCCCTTCCTAAAGCTTCTTATACCTTTTTTTAAAAATATATATTTTATTGATTTTTTTTACAGAGAGGAAGGGAGAGGGATAGAGAGTTAGAAACATCGATGAGAGAGAAACATCGATCAGCTGCCTCCTGCACATCTCCTACTGGGGATGTGCCCGCAACCAAGGTACATGCCCTTGACCGGAATCGAACCCGGGACCCTTCGGTCCGCAGGCCGACGCTCTATCCACTGAGCCAAACTGGCCAGGGCCCTTCCTAAAGCTTCTTATGCCTTTTCTTATACCAGAAAGATGGTGAGGCTCAGCTGGAAGAGGAGGGAGAAATAGCGACAGTGTCTGAGGCCAAAGCCCAGGATGAGTGTCCAGGGGAAGGGCATGGGGGCAGCCCACTCCGGCCTGCTCTCGGGGGAGACTTGGGGTTCTCCTTCCAACGCACTGGCCCCCCTGCCCTGTGGAAGGTGAAGGGGACCCTGAACTTGGGTTTGGGTGTTCGCCAGCCTGTCTCCTTCGCACGGAAAGGAGAGGAGGGCCAAGTTCTTTACCACACGCCCCGCGTGGGGGGGTCGAGGCTGAGGGGGAGGGGCAGGGGAGCCCGTCCCACGGGAGGGCCGTCACCTGCAGCTGGTGCGTCACCAGGACGACCGTCTTGCCGCGGAGCGCCTTCTGGATGCACTCCTCGAAGATGTGCTTCCCCACGCGGGTGTCCACGGCCGACAGCGGGTCGTCCAGCAGGTAGACCTCGCGGTCCGAGTAGATGGCGCGGGCCAGGCTGATCCTCTGCTTCTGCCCCCCCGAGAGGTTGAGGCCCCGCTCCCCGATCTGCGGGCGGGCAACCAAAGGCACCGTGGCCGGAGGGTGAGCACCGCCGGGAGGGCAGAGGGGGCAGACGGGACCCCTCAGGGCACACCCCGAGGCACCTAAGGATGGGGCGCCCCTGGCCTCAGCACTCGGTGCTCCCCACGTGCAGGAGAAAGTGCCCCTCGGGGGCGGCGTGGGTAGAGCAGACGTGGCACGTGGCACCGCGAAACGCCGCTCACTGGGAAGGCCGGCCCCGGGCCACCGCGGCCACGGGACGGGGCTCGAGGGCGCCGGGCTCCCGAAATAAGGGGACGGACGAGCAGCGCCTGCTCCCCTCGTGGCGGGTGTCAGACAGGAGCCACGAACGAGCGAATAAAGAAGCCAGTGCGGACCCGGAGGACGGCAGGCGCCTCCCGGGAGGCGGGGCTGTCTCACCTGCAGCGAGGCACGCGGGGCGCTAGACTGGGCTTTGCCCGT